AGAGATGGGAGATTGAAGCTTTGGAGATTGACAGCCTGAGAGACAGGAGGTTGGCAGCTGAAGAGACGAGAAATTGGAAGTCTGAGAGATGGGGGTATTGGCCATCCAATGAATGGAAGATTGGAAGTCTAAGAGTCAGGAGATTGGACGTCCAAGAGATATAAAAAATTGGCAGCCTGAGAGAAACGGAAGGTTGGCAGTCCAAGAGACGGAAGATTGGCAGTCTGAGTCTGACAGTCAGAGATGGGAGAGATTGGATGTCTAAGAGATGAAAGATTGGCAGCCCGATAGAAGGAAGGTTGTCAGTCTAAGAGATAGCAGGTGGGCAGTCTGAGACAAGAGATTGGAAGTTTGAAAGATGGGGGACTGGCCGTCCAATAACTGGAAGATTGGAAGTTTGAGAGCCGGGAGATTATCAGTCAGAGAGACAGGAGGTTGGCAGCCCGAGAGACAAGAGATTGGAAGTTTGAGAGATGGGGGATTGGCCATCCAATAAAAATGAGATTGGAAGTCTGAGAGACAGAAGATTGGAAGTCTGGGAAATTGGATGTCTAAGAGATGGAAGATTGGCAGTCTTGGAGGTTGGCAGTCTTGGAGATTGGCAGTCTTGGAGGTTGGCAGTCTTGGAGATGGAAGATTGGCAGTCTTGGAGATTGGCAGTCTTGGAGATGGAAGATTGGCAGTCTTGGAGATTAGCAGTCTTGGAGGTTGGCAGTCTTGGAGGTTGGCAGTCTTGGAGATGGAAGGTTGGCAGTCTTGGAGATTGGCAGTCTTGGAGATGGAAGATTGGCAGTCTTGGAGATTAGCAGTCTTGGAGGTTGGCAGTCTTGGAGATGGAAGATTGGCAGTCTTGGAGATTGGAGATTAGCAGTCTTGGAGGTTGGCAGTCTTGGAGATGGAAGATTGGCAGTCTTGGAGATTAGCAGTCTTGGAGGTTGGCATCTTGGAGATGGAAGATTGGCAGTCTTGGAGATTAGCAGTCTTGGAGATGGAAGATTGGCAGTCTTGGAGATTGGAGATTAGCAGTCTTGGAGATTAGCAGTCTTGGAGGTTGGCAGTCTTGGAGGTGGAAGATTGGCAGTCTTGGAGATTAGCAGTCTTGGAGGTTGGCAGTCTTGGAGATGGAAGATTGGCAGTCTTGGAGATTGGCAGTTTTGGCAATGACTATCTCTGTGAAGTTGTACAATACAGATCTCTAATGACCAAAAGCCTTTAGATTAGTTTTGCATATTGATGATGTTATGCAGAAGTCTTGGACTGGCCTGCCGGGGAAAAAGTAAGCCTTCAGTGGAGGCTCATGGCCATTCAGTTGCAGATTTGTATTGGGACACTGCTATTTACCGATCTGATGGGAAATGGTCCTCTGCAGAGCAATTTTAGCCACTTGTGGACCAGTGATGTACTGGTACGTTGGACTTTCGTTGGTTATAGTGGGGATGATGTCCAAAAGCTGTAGGCATCAACCCTAGTATTTTTTTTTTTTTTTTCCGGTGTTGGTTGACTTTATTGTAAAAGCAATCCTAGCGGCTCATTAGCTGCTGGGTTACTGTTACAAGCAATGGGATGGGACTTACCCCCCCTCCTGCAGCTCTCTCGTCCCACCAGCTGACCACAGAGAATTCTGTGCTGGGGGACCTGGAAATCTCCAAACACCTAGAGAACATCTAAGGCATCAGGTCTACATAGAACCAGGAAACACCACCTAGATATTTGAGCCTCCTAGCCCAGATAATTCCCATAGCGTGACTTGTGGGAGGAGCCATCAGCAGATATGGAGGAAGAACACGCAGCACACTTCATTGTAAACAGGCCTTTATTTGGTGTCATCACGCGCTCCATGGAATATATCCTCCCAGCTCGTAAAGTGAACTGGTACCATTTATGACCACATCCAACTTTTGCAGAAAGAAAGTTCATATACGGCAGAGTCGGTGACTTGTGGTAATACATTCTGGAATTTCAGTCCCCGGGACTGCGTTTGGGATGAGCGGGGGGGGGGGGGGGGGGGGGGGTCAGTATACAGTCACATGATTATTTGGCTGCTGGTGTCATCACAATAGAAGGAGAGGGGGGCGAGCCAGCTCAGACCATCCATCGTCAAAGTTCATTCTTCCTCCTGGGCACATTTGGTGTACCGGCCGACTCACTCTCAACAACGGGGATCGGGCAATTCACAGACCTCCCTCTTTCATCGGATCAGATTCCAGGGGGTAGCTGGGGCAAGTCACAGGCCTCCCTTCATCTCATGCAGATTCCTAAATTCAGGGGGTAGCTGGTGAAATTCACAACCCCTTACAGTGGAGATCAGGCAATTCACAGGCCTTCCTCTGTCTCATACAACCAGATTCCTAAATTCAGGGGGTAGCTGGGGCTATTCAAAGGTCCCCTCTCACACAATCAACCTCCTGACATTAGGGGGTAGCTGGGTCTATTCAAAGGCCCACCTCCATCTCATACAATCAACTCCCCAACAAAGGATGGCAGCTGGGGTAATTCACAGACCCCCCTCTACTTCATACAATGTTTCCCAACACTGGAGGGTAGTTGGGGCAAGTCACAGGTTTTCTTCCCTCCCATACAATCAGCTTCCTAGTTCCGGAGGGTAGCTGGGACAATTCACAGGTCTACCCCCTTGGCCTGCTCTTGTATGGATTGTTCACTGCTTCCTTAGACAGGTCCTGAACATGCGGTTAGGATCATCTAGAAAAAAATGGTGAAATCTGTTTAGGATCTTTCTTGAAAAAAAAAAATATGGCTTCCAGCCAATGAGTTTCGGGAGACAGGCCTCCCCCTTCAGGGCTTCAAAAAAAAAAAATGGAGAGAATCACAACATCATGTGCTATAGTAGCTTGAGGTCAGGCTAAAATGGGCTGAAACCGTCATTGGGACCAGACCACACCGATTCAGAATCAGCCACTTCCCCTCACTGTGGTCAGATCTTCCATAACGCCCTGAGGAAGGGGGAAGTCTGTCTCCCGAAATGCAAAGGATGTATTCAATGTTTCTCCTTCAATAAACACCTTCAAAAATTTCCAGCCAAGATGACCATTTTTACTAGACGCTCCCAACTATATACTTGGGGTTTATGTTTTTGATGAGCGATTCCTGTATCATGATCAAGTTTTTCCAGCTTTGGGAAGTGCCTACCGCAGTCTGCGTCTGAAGGTCATTTGAGTTGTTTCTGCTTTATCTTCTGCTCCCATGGACTGCTACATGGTAACGCCTGGACTCTCCTGCTCCCCACCCTTCTATGGACTGGTAAAATTGAGGGCCACATTGTCAAGTTGCTCTCCTGAGATGAGCTAGCTGGGGCTGCATTTTGCCCAACGACTTCTCCTGTCATGAACGGATGGAGTTAGGGAGGTGGTCCAGCTACCCTCCTCTCTATTTAGATGGACTATTTGGATTGAGGGTCTAGATTGCCCAAGGGTCTCTCTCCTGACATGGAGTTAGGAGCCAAGTGGTCCAGCTTCCTTCTCTCCTTAGATAGGCTATTTGTGCTGAGAGCCCAGATTGCCCAAAGGTCCCTCTCCTGACAGGGAGTTAGGGGTCAAGAGGTCCAGCTTTCCCCTTTGCCTAGATGGACTATTTAGGCTGAGGGCCCAGATTGACCCAAAAGTCCCTCTCCTGACATGGAGTTAGGGGTCAAGTGGTCCAGCTTCCCTGTCTCCTTAGATAGACTATTTAGGTTTAGGGCCCAGATTGCTACAAAGGTCTCTCTCATTACATGGAGTCAGGGGTCAAGTGGTCCAGCTTTCCCCTCTCCCTAGATGGACTATTTAGATTGAGGGCCCAATTACCCATGTCTCTCTGCTGACATAAGTCAGGGGTCAAGTGGTCCAGCTACCTCTCCTTAGATGGACTATTTAGGTTGAGGGCCCAGATTGCCCAAAGGTCCCTCTCCTGACATGGAGTTGGGCTAAGTGGTCCAGCTTTCCCCTCTCCTGGAATAGACTTATAGGGGTGGGGGCCCATATTGCCCAATGACCCCACTCCTGAACTGGAGTCGTACGGTTTGGGGGCTCATGAAGTCAGAGGTCTGGGTGGTCTAAAGTCCTCCTCTCTTGAGATGGACTGATGGCATTAAGTGCTCAGATAGCCCATTAGTCCCTACCCTGAAATAGGAGTCGGAAGCCCAGGTGGTCCAACTGCCTCTTCTCCTGAGATGGACTATTTGGGTTGAGGGTCCAGATTGCCCAAAGGTCCCTCTCCTGAAATGGAGTCAGGGGTCAAGTGGTCCAGCTTTACCATCTGCTTAGATGGACTATTTGGGTTGAAGGCCCAGATTGCCCAAAGATCCCGCTCTTGACAAGGAGTCAGTGGTCCAGCTTTCCCTTCTCCTGGAATAGACTGGTAGGGTTGGGGGCCAATGTTGCCCAAAGACTCCACTTCTGAAATGGACTTGTAGGGTTTGGGGGCTCAAGAAGTCAGAGGTCTAGGTGGTCTAAATGTCTCTTCTCTTGAGATGGACCAATGGCAATGAGGGCTCAGATAGCTCATTAGTCCCTCTTTTGAAATAGAAGTCAGGGGCCCAGGTGCTCCAGCTGCCCCCTCTCCTGAGATTGACTGGTGGGGTTGATGGCCCAAGTGGTCCAGTTACCCTCTCTTCTTTATGGACTAATAGAGAGATAGGCCCAATTGCCCTCTCTTCTAAGGCGGACTGATAGAGATGGACTTCTTCTGAGATGGACTTGTAGGATTGTGGCTTATGTTGCCAACTGGCCCCTGTCCTGCAATGTACTGATGGAATCAGTGGCCCAGCTGCCCTGAGATTGGATTGTTGGGGTTGAAGGCCCAAGTTGCCCAATGGTCCCTCTCCTTATATGGAGTCAGGGGCCCAGGTGGTCCAGCTGCCCCCTCTCCTGAGATGGACTAGTGGGAACAAGAGCCCAGGAGATCTAGTTGCCCGCTCTCCTGAGATGGATTGATAGGAAGATGGGCCCAGTTGCCCTCTCTCTACACACAGACCCCCAAGATCCAGAACCATCTAACTCCTATAGTCACACTGCCTGGACCCGGGAATCTGACTCTGCGTCTGCTTTCTCTGCGGTCGATTCTTGCGATTGGCTCCTCTGGGCACAGTCAGGGTTATCGTGGATTTGACTTGTATCTTCCCCGTCCTCCTCCTCTCCCGTCACCTGGCAGAGGCACACTTCTATTCCTGAGTCCCCGGTCAGCCTCCTCTGTCTGTAATGTTCTTCCTCATCCTCTTCATCCACCTCTTCAATATCCCAGCAGTGGTGACCATCAAAGAAATCCACGGAGGAGGAGAAGGCTGTCTGCTTGTGAAGGCCTCGTTCCCTGCCACAAGCCCCCTCCTCCTCGGGACTGGCCTCCCAGCTCCCCCCTTCACTAGCCGAGCTGCCCAGGCTGGTCCTCGTCTCGTCAGTCACTTGGACGGAGAAGGAGCTGCTGCCGGACAGCATACAGCCAGAAGTGCAGGAGCAGCTGCTGGTGTGCTCGGAGCTGGGGGTGAGCGAGGGTGGGTCAGAGGGTGGGGGTGGAGGAGGCGATGAGGAGGGCAGACCCAGCTGGGTGAGGATGGAGCTGTATGGAGGAGGCGGGGTGGTGGGCCGGTATGCCACTTCCTCATAGGCTGGAAGTTTGAATGATGACAGCGCCCCTGCAGGAGAAGAAATTGCACAGTCACGTTTTACTGAATCCCAGACAGTCCCTTCCCTTCCTGGCAACCAATCAGCTTCTCCCTTCCATGGTCTAAAAGGCAGAATGGAACATGTAAGGGGGACACTGATTGGTTACAAGCAGGGAAAAGCAGTTCTTCATTCACCTTACAAGCACAAACCCCACCGCCACCTAAACCCCCCTCAGGCTAAGAAACGAAACATTGATCCCATGCATGCCGCCTTTCCAAAATCTAGGGGGTGCGAAAGGACAGAAAGAGAAGCCACGCCCCCAGAGACTGACAGACAGCAACTACGGGGACCTGACATTCCTCCACGCCTTTGTCCAGGCTCCCGGCCGCCACATGTCCTCAAGACCCCGAATCTTCCCAACCTCACCCAGAATGTTGTGCACCACCACCTCGGCAGGAGGAAACCTGACACCGTGCATTCCACGTGTGGAAATGGACTACTAAGCTAACTAGGAAAGTGTCTCAAAATCAAAGTCCCGGTTAGTCCGTAAAGCCCCGTACACCCACTCTGCATAACTCATTCAGAAAAGGGATCCCCAGAGCCCCACCCACCCGCTTGTAGACTTCTATATTGAAGGGGCACTGAAGCAAGAAATGGTCCATCGTCTCCTCCACTCCACCGCACTCCACTCTTGGACAACCACGGTTCTCCGCAGAGCGATGCTTCAGGTTGCCCTTCACAGAGTCTGCCATGGAACGAGAGCCAGGCCAAATCCTGAAACTTTAAAGGGATTCTCTCCAGATTCATCAAACGCAGACCCTCCCTCATAACCGGGCCTGGGCAATCCCTCCCCCATAACCGGGCCTGGGCAATCCCTCCCTCATAACCGGGCCTGGGCAACCCCTCCCTCATAACCGGGCCTGGGCAACCCCTCCACCATAACCGGGCCTGGGCAACCCGTCCCTCATAACCGGGCCTGGGCAATCCGTCCCTCATAACCGGGCCTGGGCAACCCGTCCCTCATAACCGGGCCTGGGCAACCCGTCCCTCATAACCGGGCCTGGGCAACCCGTCCCTCATAACCGGGCCTGGGCAACCCGTCCCTCATAACCGGGCCTGGGCAACCCGTCCCTCATAACCGGGCCTGGGCAACCCGTCCCTCATAACCGGGCCTGGGCAATCCCTCCCTCATAACCGGGCCTGGAAATGATCGGTCTAACAATGGAATGTTTGCCCCTCACACAGAAATGATCGGTCTAACAATGGAATGTTCGCCCCTCACACAGAAACGATCGGTCTAAACAATGGAATGTTCGCCCCTCACACAGAAACGATCGGTCTAACAATGGAATGTTCGCCCCTCACACAGAAAAGATCGGTCTAACAATGGAATGTTCGCCCCTCACACAGAAACGATCGGTCTAACAATGGAATGTTCGCCCCTCACACAGAAACGATCGGTCTAACAATGGAATGTTCGCCCCTCACACAGAAACGATCGGTCTAACAATGGAATGTTCGCCCCTCACACAGAAACGATCGGTCTAACAATGGAATGTTCGCCCCTCACACAGAAACGATCGGTCTAACAATGGAATGTTTGCCCCTCACACAGAAACGATCGGTCTAACAATGGAATGTTCGCCCCTCACACAGAAACGATCGGTCTAACAATGGAATGTTCGCCCCTCACACAGAAACGATCGGTCTAACAATGGAATGTTCGCCCCTCACACAGAAATGATCGGTCTAACAGTGGAATGTTCGCCCCTCACACAGAAATGATCGGTCTAACAATGGAATGTTCGCCCCTCACACAGAAATGATCGGTCTAACAATGGAATGTTCGCCCCTCACACAGAAACGATCTGTCTAACAATTGAATGTTCCCCCTCACACAGAAATGATCGATCTAACAATGGAATGTTCGCCCCTCACACAGAAACGATCGGTCTAACAATGGAATGTTCGCCCCTCACACAGAAATGATCGGTCTAACAATGGAATGTTCACCCCTCACACAGAAATGATCGGTCTAACAATGGAATGTTCACCCCTCACACAGAAACGATCGGTCTAACAATGGAATGTTCGGTGTAACACAGAGACAGAATACAACAACAAATTCAGCAGAAATGCGTCTAACAAATGATGACGGATCTGCATGTTCATGAGGGAAAGAAGGATTTGATCCCCTTCACAAAACATGACTTAGTACTTGGTGACCAATCCCTTGTTGGCCATCACAGAGGTCAGACGTTTCCTGGAGTTGGCCCCCAGGTTCGCACACATCTCAGGAGGGATTTTGGCCCACTCCTATTGGCAGATCCTCTCCAAGTCATTAAGGTTCGGTGGCTGACGTTTGGCAACTCGAACTTTCAGCTCCCTCCACAGATTTTCCATCGGATGAAGGTGTGGAGACTGGCTAGGCCACTCCAGGACCTTAATGTGCTTCTTCTTGAGCCGCTCCTTTGTTGCCTTGGCCGTGTGTTTTGGGTCATTGTCATGCTGGAACACCCATCCACCACCCATTTTCAATGCCCTGGCTGAGGGAAGAAGGTTCTCACCCAAGATTTGAGGGTACATTGCCCCGTCCATCGTCCCTTTGATGCGGTGCAGTTGTCCTGTCCCATTAGCAGAAACCCCCCCCCCCCCAAAGCAGAATGTTTCCACCACCATGTTTCACAGTTGGGATGGTGTTCTTGGGGTCATGGGCAGCATTCCTCCTCCTCCAAACACGGCGAGTTGAGTTGATGCCAAAGAACTGGATTTTGGTCTCCTCTGACCACAACACTTCCCACCAGTCCTCCTCGGCATCATTCAGATGTTCAGTGGCAGACTTCAGACGGGCTGGACATGGGCTTTCTTGAGCAGAGGGACCGTGCGGGGGCACTGCAGGATTTCAGTCCTTGTCGGCGTAGTGTGTTACCAATTGTTTTCTTGGTGACTGTGGTCCCAGCTGCCTGGAGATCATTGACAAGATCCTCACGTGTAGTTCTGGGATGATTCCTCACTGTTCTCATGATCATTGACACTCCACGAGGTGAGATCTTGCATGGTGCACCAGACCTAGGGAGACTGACACTTGTTTTGTGTGTTTCTTCCATTTGTGAATGATTGCACCAACTGTTGTCACCTTCTCACCAAGCTGCTTGGCCATAGTTTGGTAGCCCAGTCCAGCCTTGTGTAGGTCTACCATCTTGTCCCTGACCTCCTTGGACAGCTCTTTGGTCTTTGCCATGGTGGAGAGTTTGGAATCTGATGGTTTGATGGCTCCTGTGGACAGGTGTCTTTTATACAGGTAACACAATGAGATTAGCAGCACTCCCTTTAAGAGACTGCTTCTAATCTCAGCTTGTTACCTGTATGAGAGACACCTGGGAGCCAGAAATCCTGCTGAATGATAGGGGATCAAATCCTTCTTTCCCTCATGAACATGCAGATCCATCATCATTTGTTAGACGCATTTCTGCTGAATTTGTTGTTGTATTCTGTCTCTCAGTGTTACACCGAACATTCCATTGTTAGACCGATCATTTCTGTGTGAGGGGCGAACATTCCATTGTTAGACCGATCATTTCTGTGTGTGTGAGGGGCGAACATTCCATTGTTAGACCGATCATTTCTGTGTGAGGGGCGAACATTCCATTGTTAGACCGATCATTTCTGTGTGAGGGGCGAACATTCCATTGTTAGATCATTTGTGTGAGGGGCGAACATCGTTAGACCGATCGTTTCTGTGTGAGGGGCGAACATTCCATCGTTAGACCGATCGTTTCTGTGTGAGGGGCGAACATTCCATTGTTAGACCGATCGTTTCTGTGTGAGGGGCGAACATTCCATTGTTAGACCGATCGTTTCTGTGTGAGGGGCGAACATTCCATCGTTAGACCGATCGTTTCTGTGTGAGGGGCGAACATTCCATTGTTAGACCGATCGTTTCTGTGTGAGGGGCGAACATTCCATTGTTAGACCGATCGTTTCTGTGTGAGGGGCGAACATTCCATTGTTAGACCGATCATTTCTGTGTGAGGGGCGAACATTCCATTGTTAGACCGATCGTTTCTGTGTGAGGGGCGAACATTCCATCGTTAGACCGATCGTTTCTGTGTGAGGGGCGAACATTCCATTGTTAGACCGATCATTTCTGTGTGAGGGGAGAACATTCCATTGTTAGACCGATCATTTCTGTGTGAGGGGCGAACATTCCATTGTTAGACCGATCGTTTCTGTGTGAGGGGCGAACATTCCATCGTTAGACCGATCATTTCTGTGTGAGGGGCCAACATTCCATTGTTAGACCGATCGTTTCTGTGTGAGGGGAGAACATTCCATTGTTAGACCGATCGTTTCTGTGTGAGGGGCGAACATTCCATCGTTAGACCGATCATTTCTGTGTGAGGGGCGAACATTCAGCATACCCTGCATCAGGGGGGGGCAAATACACATTTCCTGCATTGTATATAAATGTACAACCTGATGGAATAAAGCACTGTGTACCCCCCCCCCCCCCTTCTTTCATGACCCCTCATCCTCCATCCAGACCCCTCATCCTCCATCCAGACTCCTCATCCTCCATCCAGACCCCCATCCTCCATCCAGACCCCTCGCTCCACCAGGTTAGGGATGGTACAGTGCGGGTATAGAGGACAGTGTATTATAATGGGAGGGGTGAATACTTCCCTGGATGGGGGGGTCAGCAGTGAGCTGTGATTTGGGGATACTTACGTAGATCAAGCATGGACGGAGGGTAATGGCAGGCACGGTGGTAGGCGATCAGGTTTATCTCGCGCTGTCTTTGTTGGTGCTGCAGGCGCAGTTTGGCGCGGCGATGGCGATAGGCACAGCAACAACTGAGGAGAATCAGAACCGTCCAGAGGAGCCAAAACCCTGCGGGGAGGAGAGGGGCCACAATCCATAACACGGTTCCCATTACTTATATCATCATAATTAGACGTTCTCGAACTGAGCTTCACGCTACCACCATAGAGATGCTACTACCTGCAGTCATGTGATTTCTCAGCCCCTCCCAGCTGTGACATCACAATAGCTGTGAGAACGTCCTACCCTGACCAGTCAAGAGAAGACTCCGGCCTGGTCTGGGCTACTGGGACAGATATTATCATTTTTGGTTTACCTGGGAAACCCTTTTCTTGACCAGAGCCTTGTTCACAACAACCTTACAACTGGACCTGAGCCCCGACTTCGACTCCAAACCTGGACCTGAGCCCCGACTTCAACTCCAAACCTGGACCTGAGCCCTGTCGCTGACCTCAGTCCCGACTTAGACTCCAAAACCTGGACCTGAGCCCCGACTTCGACTCCAAACCTGGACCTGAGCCCCGACTTCGACTCCAAACCTGGACCTGAGCCCCGACTTCGACTCCAAACCTGGACCTGAGCCCCGACTTCGACTCCAAACCTGGACCTGAGCTCCGACTTCGACTCCAAACCTGGACCTGAGCCCCGACTTCGACTCCAAACCTGGACCTGAGCCCCGACTTCGACTCCAAACCTGGACCTGAGCTCCAACTTCGACTCCAAACCTGGACCTGAGCCCCGACTTCGATCTCCAAACCTGGACCTGAGCCCCGACTTCATCTCCAAACCTGGACCTGAGCCCCGACTTCATGTCGCTGACCTCAGTCCCGACTTCGACTCCAAACCTGGACCTGAGCCCCGACTTCGACTCCAAACCTGGACCTGAGCCCCGACTTCGACTCCAAACCTGGACCTGAGCCCCGACTTCGACTCCAAACCTGGACCTGAGCCCCGACTTCGACTCCAAACCTGGACCTGAGCCCTGTCGCTGACCTCAGTCCCGACTTAGACTCCAAACCTGGACCTGAGCCCTGACTTCGACTCCAAACCTGGACCTGAGCCCCGACTTCGACTCCAAACCTGGACCTGAGCCCCGACTTCGACTCCAAACCTGGACCTGAGCTCCGACTTCGACTCCAAACCTGGACCTGAGCCTCGACTTCATCTCCAAACCTGGACCTGAGCCCCGACTTCATCTCCAAACCTGAGCCGTCACTGACCTCAGTCCCGACTCCAAAACTGGACCTGAGCCCCGACTTCGACTTCAAACCTGGACCTGAGACCTGTCACTGACCTCAGTCCCCGACTTCGACTCCAAACCTGGACCTGAGCCCCGACAGAAAACTAAACCCTCTACCTGAGCCCCGACACTGAATTCACACCTGAGCCCCGACACTGAATTCACACCCTGAGCCCCGACACTGAATTCACACCTGAGCCCCGACACTGAATTCACCTGGACCTGAGCCCCGACACTGAATTCACCTGACCCTGACCCCGACACTGAATTCACACCTGAGCCCCGACACTGAATTCACACCTGAGCCCCGACACTGAATTCACACCTGAGCCCCGACACTGAATTCACACCTGAGCCCCGACACTGAATTCACACCTGAGCCCCGACACTGAATTCACACCTGAGCCCCGACACTGAATGGAGGGGGATATCCTTCATTCTGCTAATAAACGGGAGTAAACAAATGCACATTCTGGGTGGAGAGGTTTGGAAGAGGGAATCCCCAATGATGTCATTGTGAGGTCACAGTAATGGCAGATACTCACACCACAGCTTGTGAGGTCGTAGTAGTAGTAGGTGCAGCAGCCAGTCTCCCCGCAGCAATGGCCGCTCTCACACACGTAGGGCTTATTGTTCACCCCTGGGCAGTGCTCCCGGGCCTGCGGAGAGGACAAATGGGTCATGTGATGGACAACAAATCACAGCCCCCCCACCCACATTTCAGAATCACCTTCTCCAGATACAGCACCCCCCATTCCACCACTGACCCTCCACCCAGAGCACCCACCTGTCCAACCTTGACCCTCTCCTTCCACCATTCCAACTGTGACCCTCCCCCTCCACCCAGAGCACCCAACATTCCAACCTTGACCCTCTCCTCCCATCCAAAGTACCCACCATTCCAACGCTGACACTCCCCCTCCATCCAAAGTACCCACCATTCCAGCACTGACACTCCCCCTCCACCCCAAGGCACCCACCATTCCAACCTTGACCCTACCCCTCCACCCAGAGAGCCCACCATTTTAAGACTGATTTTCCCCTTCTACCCAAAGCACCCATCATTCCAACACTGACCCTCTACCCAGAGCACCCACCATTCCAACCTTGATCCTCTCCTTCTACCCAAAGTACCCACCATTCCAACGCTGACACCCCCCTCCACCCCAGGCACCCACCATTCCAACCAACGTACCCACCATTCCAACTTTGACCCCCCTTAACCCACATTACCCACTATTCCAACATTGACCCTCCCCCTTAACCCACATTACCCACTATTCCAACATTGACCCTCCCCCTTAACCCACATTACCCACTATTCCAACATTGACCCTCCCCCTTAACCCACATTACCCACCATTCCAACTTTGACCCTCCCACTTAACTCAGAGCACCCACCATTCCAACCATGACCCTCCCCCTCCACCCAGAGCACCCACCATTCAAACCATGACCCTCCACCCAGAGCACCCACCACCATTTTAAGACTGACCTTCCCCCTCCACACATAGTACCCCACCATTCCAACCTTGACCCTACCCCTCCACGCAGAGCACCCACCATTCCAACCTTGACACTACCCTTCCATGCAGAGCACCCATCATGCCAACCTTGACCCTACCCCTCCACGCAGAGCACCCACCATTCCAACCTTGACCCTACCCCTCCACGCAGAGCACCCACCATTCCAACCTTGACCCTACCCCTCCATGCAGAGCACCCATCATGCCAACCTTGACCCTACCCCTCCACGCAGAGCACCCACCATTCCAACCTTGACCCTACCCTTCCATGCAGAGCACCCATCATGCCAACCTTGACCCTACCCCTCCACGCAGAGCACCCACCATTCCAACCTTGACCCTACCCCTCCATGCAGAGCACCCACCATTCCAACCTTGACCCTACCCCTCCACGCAAAGCACCCACCATTTTAAGACTGACCCTCCCCCCTTAACCCAGACTACCCAAAATTCCAATGCTGACTTCCCCCTCCACCCAAAGCACCCACCATTCCATCCTGACCCCTGTTCCTCTAGTAGGTGCACCTCCAATGAATCCTGACCCCTCAGGCCACAGTACCCCAAACGTATTCCTCCCCCCCTCCTTCTGGCCCTATTCCACCCACCAATTCTATCCTGACCCCTCTTCTCTATTTCATCTTGACCTTTCCAACAAAAGCACCCCTCAATTCTGTTCACACCCCACCAGCCAGAGCACCCCCTCAATTCCACCCTCAACCCTCCAGGCATAGCACCTCTCATTTCCACCCTGACCCCTCTCTCTAGCCAAAGCACCCCCGATTTCATCCCCACTCCCCCCTCCAACCAGGGCTCCCTCAATTTCACCCTGACTCCTCCCTTGCCAACCAACACACCTCCAATTTTGTGCAGATTCTTCCAGCCAAACTGCTCCCTAATCCATCCCAACCCTTCCCTGTGAGAGCACCCCCAATTCCATCCTGCCCCCTCCAGCCTAACTACTCCCGATCCCATCCTGAATTCCTCCAGCAACAGCACCTCCAATTCCATCCTGACTCCTTCAGCCCAACGACTCCCGATCCCATCCTGAATTCTCCAGCAACAGCACCCCCAATTCCATCCTGCCCCCTCCAGCCTAACTACTCCCGATCCCATCCTGAATTCTCCAGCAACAGCACCCCCAATTCCATCCTGACTCCTTCAGCCCAACGACTCCCCGATCCCATCCTGAATTCTCCAGCAAGAGCACCCCCAATTCCATCCTGCCATCCCGATCCCATCTGCCCCCACCCCAGCCTAACTACTCCCGATCCCATCCTGAATTCTCCAGCAACAGCACCCCCAATTCCATCCTGACTCCTTCAGCCCAACGACTCCCGATCCCATCCTGAATTCTCCAGCAACAGCACCCCCAATTCCATCCTGACTCCTTCAGCCCAACGACTCCCGATCCCATCCTGAATTCTCCAGCAACAGCACCCCCAATTCCATCCTGACTCCTTCAGCCCAACTACTCCCGATCCCATCCTGAATTCTCCAGCAACAGCACCCCCAATTCCATCCTGCCCCCTCCAGCCTAACTACTCCCAATCCCATCCTGAATTCTCCAGCAAGAGCACCCCCAATTCCATCCTGCCCCCTCCAGCCTAACTACTCCCAATCCCATCCTGAATTCTCCAGCAACAGCACCCCCAATTCCATCCTGACTCCTTCAGCCCAACGACTTCCGATCCCATCCTGAATTCTCCAGCAACAGCACCCCCAATTCCATCCTGACTCCTTCAGCCATACTAACCCATCCCGACCTCTCCCTCTCCCACCATAGCACCCCTCAATCCCATCCTGCCGCCTCCAACAACCCCACACCCAGCTATTACACACAATTCCTGCTCTCTACCCGCTGCAGTGAGGAGGGCCCCCCCAGACTATAATACTGTCCCGACCCCTGACCCCGATGCAGGTCATTGTGTCAGGTGAATGAATTCTCCATCGCTGATCCCCAATAACTGCACCATTGACCTCGGAGGAAGGAGTACTGAGGGCCCCCCAAATCTTCTCTATAGGAACGGTAACCTCATATACTCGATGTCGGCTCTCCGCCCGAGTATCCAGCACTGCCTCGGGACTGATCACATGACAGAATGGAAGGTTCTGGGCTCTACTGGCAGACCATGGATGGGACCCTCCAGGGGACTCACCGTGTCACTGGGGCGGATGGGCGGCAGCAGATGTTCAGCAGCGAGCATGTGAGCGTCATACAGTCCCGGCACGGCCATGTCTGAGTGGTGTCACTGACAAAGGAACAGACACTCTACGCAGAAAGTCACCTGCCTGTGTGTGTACTGTAAACACAAAGTAACATTCTCCACCCAACAATCCGAGATACAGCCAGTGCTGACTGACCCAACAACATCACCCACAATGGAATCTGTCCGAACTGGAACCATCACCACCCACAATGGGATCTGTCCGAGCTGGAACCATCACCAGCCACAATGGGATCTGTCCGAACTGGAACCATCACCAGCCACAATGGGATCTGTCCGAACTGGAACCATCACCACCCACAATGGGATCTGTCCAAGCTGGAACCATCACCACCCACAATGGGATCTGTCCAAGCTGGAACCATCACCACCCACAATGGGATCTGTCCAAACTGGAACCATCACCACCCACAATGGGATCTGTCCAAACTGGAACCATCACCACCCACACAATGGGATCTGTCCAAAATGGAACCATCACCACCCACAATGGGATCTGTCCAAACTGGAACCATCACCAGCCACTATGGGGTCTGTCCGAGCTGGAACCATCACCACCACCCACAATGGGATCTGTCCAAGCTGGAACCATCACCACCCACAATCATGGGATCTGTCCAAGCTGGAACCATCACCACCCACAATGGGATCTGTCCAAGCTGGAACCATCACCACCCACAATGGGATCTGTCCAAACTGGAACCATCACCACCCACAATGGGATCTGTCCAAGCTGGAACCATCACCAGCCACTATGGGGTCTGTCCAAGCTGGAACCATCACCACCCACAATGGGATCTGTCCAAGCTGGAACCATCACCACCCACAATGGGATCTGTCCAAACTGGAACCATCACCAGCCACAATGGGATCTGTCCAAACTGGAACCATCACCACCACAATGGGATCTGTCCAAGCTGGAACCATCACCACCCACAATCAGATCTGTCCAAGCTGGAACCATCACCACCCACAATGGGATCTGTCCAAGCTGGAACCATCACCACCCACAATGGGATCTGTCCAAGCTGGAACCATCACCAGCCACTATGGGGTCTGTCCAAGCTGGAACCATCACCACCCACAATGGGATGTCTGTCCAAGCTGGAACCATCACCACCCACAATGGGATCTGTCCAAGCTGGAACCATCACCACCCACAATGGGATCTGTCCAAGCTGGAACCATCACCACCCACAATGGGATCTGTCCAAGCTGGAACCATCACCACCCACAATGGGATCTGTCCAAGCTGGAACCATCACCACCCACAATGGGATCTGTCCAAGCTGGAACCATCACCACCCACAATGGGATCTGTCCGAGCTGGAACCATCACCACCCACAATGGGATCTGTCCAAGCTGGAACCATCACCACCACAATGGGATCTGTCCAAGCTGGAACCATCACCACCCACAATGGATCTGTCCAAGCTGGAACCATCACCACCCACAATGGGATCTGTCCAAGCTGGAACCATCACCACCCACAATGGGGTCTGTCCAAGCTGGAACCATCACCAGCCACTATGGGGTCTGTCCAAGCTGGAACCATCACCACCCACAATGGGATCTGTCCAAGCTGGAACCATCACCACCCACAATGGGATCTGTCCAACTGGAACCATCACCAGCCACTATGGGTCTGTCCGAACTGGAACCATCACCACCCACAATGGGATCTGTCCAACCTGGAACCATCACCAGCCACTATGGGGTCTGTCCAAACTGGAACCATCACCAGCCACAATGGGATCTGTCCAAGCTGGAACCATCACCACCCACAATGGGATCTGTCCAAGCTGGAACCATCACCACCCACAATGGGATCTGTCCAAGCTGAACCATCACCAGCCACTATGGGATCTGTCCAAGCTGGAACCATCACCACCCACAATGGGATCTGT